TGCAGCAGACAACCGGTGCCCAAGATAGATGACGCTATCCCTCCCAAACTCGGATTTCTCCAAGTTGAGATGGAGCTGCGTCTTCTTGAGGATGGCGAGTACCTCCTCAAGATGCTTGAGGTGTTCCTCCATGGACTTGCTGAAAATCAGGATATCATCCAGGTACACTACCACGAACCGGCCAATCTGTTCGCGGAGGACCCTGTCCATGAGGCTTTGGAACGTGGCTGGTGTGTTCGTAAGACCGAAGGGCATTACGGTAAACTCATAAAGCCCATTGCGCGTCTTGAACGCAGTCTTGTGCTGGTCCGCAGGATCGACTTCAATCTGGTGGTAGCCAGACTTGAGATCGATCTTGGAAAAGACCTTGCACCCGCCTGCAACATCAAGCAAGTCATCTATACGAGGCAATGGGTAAGCATTCTTTCTTGTGATGCGGTTTAGACCGCGATAGTCAATACACATGCGGAGTTTGCAGCATCAAGCAAGTCATCTATACGAGGCAATGGGTAAGCATTCTTTCTTGTGATGCGGTTTAGACCGCGATAGTCAATACACATGCGGAGTTTGCCTCCTTTCTTTGGCACAAACAACACAGGAGCACCAAATTCAGATTCACTTGGTTTGATCCACCCTTTGTCAATCATCTCATCGATCTGCCGCCGGAGTTTCTCCAACTCGCCGGGTCCCATACGGTACACGCAGCCCTTTGGAGGAACTGCACCCTCGACCAATTCGATGGCGTGTCGGACTGGTCGCATGGGGACTCCACGTGGCTCAGTCAAGACTTCCGGAAACCGTTCGAGGAGGGCTTTAATGTCTAATGGGACAGGTGGGGGTGGGGAATCAGCAAAGGGATCACCAAAGTCCGGTCGCAGGTCACGTATAGAGACGACCGAATCTGAAGTAGGATCATTTGGACCATTAGAGGGTAGAGAGGTAGAGGTGCTAGTAGTAGAAGTACTAGAAGTAGGATCATTAATCAAAGTGGTAGTGGTACTAGCCGCAAAAGTAGAAGGCACATGAGCAGGACGAACAAAGGCAACATACATTTGTCCTTCCTTCTTGTACTTGCGCCACTTCTTGCAGAACTTCAATGCATTCAGAAAAGTCATTGGGGACTTGTGCTTCTCATCCAAGAGGACAGGAAGCTCGTTCCCCTGAGCATCTTTGACCATGAAGAGTGATTCCTTCCACTTAGTCCATTCGCATTGGGACTGCAGCCAGCCCAAGCCAAGGACAGCGTCGAAGGGGCACTTGTCAAGGACAAAGAAGTTCAGTGCATGGGTGACAGTCTTACCTTTGTCAAAGGTAGTGCGCACACCTTTGACTGCATGTGTAGAAGAGACAACTTCTTTGTTGCCAACTTGGGTTCGGCAAGGGTTCTGCAGGGCCACTTGCTTCATCCCCAAGCCCACCTTGCGTATCCCATGTGGTGACATGAAATTAGTTATAGCACCACAATCAACTAACACACGGAGATAGCGGTGGTTGATGAGAAGTTTAAAGAAGATTAACTTCACCGTCCCTTGGGCCCGCTGCTGTTTCATTTCAGCCCAATGCTCCAAGTGGTAGTGGAAGTCAATCATCTCAGACTCCTCCCAAGCCTCGTCATACAATACGTTACTTACCGCAGCCTTGCCTTCAGCAGATGGTTGGGCTTCAAGGGAGGGTTGTTGATCTTCAACAGAACCAGCCTCCCTTGCTGTAGAGTTTGCTGAGTCTGACTCTACGCCCGATTCTTGTTTCCCTGCAACCGATAACAGTCTTGAACTTTATGATTTGGCTTTTGGCAATGCAGGCAAACCCCCTTCTTGAGTCTGCCCCGCCAGTCATTCTCAAAGATCCGGAGGTCAACCCACAGTTTGGTAGATGCATCCTCCGGTTTAGGCGGGATCTTAACTCCTTTGAGGAGATGGACATAACTCTTTCCGGCACTTCGATTCGGTCCCTTAGTGTTGGCAGTCTTTTTAAGGGCAGAAAAATTTTCTTCTTCGTTATTTGCGTCGGACTCATGGGCTGAAGAACAAGCTGTATCGGAGTCCTGCTCTTGGTCGTCACCAAGAGTGGGGTCAACCGCATTGGCTTCTCCTTCGGCCTCTAGCAGGTCATGCACAGCAAAACGGTTGCTGCCCTTGAACCGTCTGCCGCCCATGGGCTTTTTGCTGCCTGCCATGCTAACGAGGTCCAAGGCCTCCAGACTGACTACATCCTTCATTAAGGCAAGCCAGTCAGTATAAGCAATGTAGTCCCTGCCCAGGCGACTAGTGAAGTTAGTGGGAACCGCGCCCTTGACCACATCTAAGCAAGATTGAGTGGACAATTCCAAACCAGGAGTGGCAAACAACTTGCTTAGATAGGTCTGCAGGCTTTTCATTGAGCCATTCCACTTGTTGTGCTTTACTTTGTCCATTTGAATCCTTGCTTTAGCAGCAACATGTGGATCTTGGTATTCTGAGATAAGGAGTTCTTCGAGGGAGGCAACCGGGGTGGATCTTAGCCATTTGGCTAGTGCAGACTTTTGAAACCCAGCCCGCGTTGCTTGGACTTCTAGGAAGCCCCGTACGACTGGCTCGACGTTCATACCCATGATAACTGTCTGGGTCTCAGCTTGAGTCCCCAGGATCTCAAAGTAGGCTCTCATGGAGCCAATCCAGGACTCGATGTCTTCCTTGCCATCGTACTTGGACGGTATTTGAACCGCCTTCCGGTCCACATAGGGACTGGCGTGGCTGGGACCAGCAGTAGCTGGTTCCGGTCTTGGGGCTGCAGCAATTGCAGAAATTCCAGCCTCATTGCTTGTTACAACAACAGTGGAATCTGCACCTGCTGCAGGTCCTGAGGAGGTTACCATCACACTCGAAGAAGAGGTAGAAGAAGATACAGTAAGAGGGGCAGAAGTAGTTTCGATTGCAGCTCCGGTCCCAGGGGGTAGAGGGAGAGGGTTGGCCACTTGGGCTTGTCGCAGGTCAGCCACCTCCTTGGCCAAGTCATGGTACTTGCGGGTCATCTCAGTCAGATCATCCTGAAGAGTCTGCAGCTTCGCAAAAACTTCAGC